TAGTATACGTAAGACAAAAATGCTTGTGTAGCGAGAGAAGATTGACAAGAACGCTCTTGTATTTTCTGTTTATGATCACAAAAATCGATTATCATTCTCCTATCCGTAATAGACATTTTTAAGGAAACTATAGATAGTAAAGTGCGTATTTTAGTTAAAGAAATTGATTAAACTTCTATCAACTAACAGAAAAAGTAGTAGAAATTGTTTTCTTCTTTCTTATATAGGACACTAGAGAATAATTTAAAAATATTGTTGAGATAATCTGTAATAAAATTATTGTATCCGAAGAGAAAAATGTTTCTTGTTTTTTTAGGATAAAATGAGTACTACTTATCTTTAAAAACAAAATTTTTCAAGTATAGTAACGAGTCATAAATGCAACCGTCTTTTAAAAATCCCTTTGGGAAACGATACTGAGAGAATATCGAGAACTATAAAAACCTTTAGTATAATGTAAAGAATAATTATAAACGTGATGTTTGCTGAGGTTTGAATATTGAATATAATTCAATACTTATTTATATTACTACTGCCTTCACTTTTCTCACATTTCGTACTAATTGTGTTTCGTGTTATTGAAAGCATTATATATTTTTATTTGTTTTGTTCTACATAGATTGAACGTAATATGAAATACACGAGAGACAATATACACTATTTGTTACTTAATTTTGAAGCAGAACGAAATAATTCTTTTAGTTTGATCGCTTACATAAAAATATAGTGAAGTACTAAGTAATTTGAGCACTTTGTTTTCTAATTCTATTCTATTTATTTGCTATAGACTGATAGTATAGTTCAATTTTAGCCATTTAATTTTAGGAAAAAATTTTTATCCTATAAGTTCAAACTCTTAACAAATATTTTCAGTTACTTTTGATTGTATAGAAAATTAATAAAAAAGTCAATGAAAAATTTTGAATATTCACGTCTCTATCTGTTCATCTATATGATATTTTTTATTTTAATTGTATAATATATACTTCTTGAATGTCTGAAACAATCATGATGAAAACGATAGGCTATCACACATACTGAAACAATTCGAAAATTCTATTTCTTGATAAAAAAAAGGGTTGTGTATATATACCAAAATACCATGATAAAAGTATTAGCTCACTAGTATATATCTATCTATCTATATATACCTGTCCGGAGGCAAAAAATAAAATAAAAAAGGCGAATACAGTGTATAGAGATTATTCTGTAATTAATCCTCAGATATAGAAAAGAGAATAAAAACAAAAACAAAGTAGACTAGTTCTGATGCATCAGAGTGTTTAGACAAAACTGTCATCGTTTTATTTTTTTTTTTAGATGATTTTTTTTTTTTTTTTTGTAACGTATTTTATAGATTTGATCATTGCAACAGTCTCGAATGTTTATCATCGCTGATATACTTTTGGTTGTCTGTGTGCTTCTTTATTTTTTATTTTTTTGTTGTTGTTGCATTTATAATGGTACTTTGAGTGTAATGTTTCATTTGTGGGCTAACATCACTCGATTATTTTGAGTTTTGTAGATAAAACATATCTTCGTCGTCTTCTCCTCCGATGTTGATGATAATAATATTATAATCATTATCATTTCTGTTTTTTTTCTCTTCCCTCTCTTTTAAAACTGAGAGTATCTCTTGGTTAAAATGAGACACTTAATTCGATTATCATTCAAGTTGTTAATTATTTTTATTTCCTTTCCATATACTATTACGTAGATGATGTGAGTGTATACTATTGTACATGTGTGTCAGATGGTATATTATATTGTATCATTAGAAAAATTTTCTTCTTTGTTGTGCTAAAGAAGGGAAAAAAAAAAAAGGCAAAAAGAAAACTCTAATTTTTTCATCTACGTACACATTAGATTTTATTATGACACAAAATGTCATACCTGATGAAAAAACATTTAGCATTGTTTATGTACAACAATGAGTTACTATATATACATCTATATATTAAATTATGTGACACATCAAGGTTTTTGTTTTGTTTTTGATTGAAAATAAAAGATGTAGGGTGTTAAACAGGTAAGATATTATAATCAAATAAATATAACTTATACTCATAATCAATGACAAAAATACTTTTAAAGAAGAAAAATATAGAATAGTCCTTTTTACGTCATGTATGTGTCTATCTACAAGTGTATGTATATGTATATGTGTTTATGCTTATGAATCTTCGCAAGATTGACAACAGCAACAATGTATAATAACAAAAAAATAGTCAATCATATTTCTTATATGATTTCAGAGAAAAAGAAGAAGAAGAAGAAAAAAAAACTATATGATTGATTGACATCAGATAATAGTTGAATATTGTTTCAGAAAAATAGAGTACGTTCAAGTATTTTTATGTTGTCAAAAAATCGGATGTTTTGACAAAATACCAAAGATAAGAAATGATAGTAGCAGAAATGAAACTTATTTTTACTGAAACTAGATGACCTGTATTGAAGATCTTTAGAGTGTTTAATTATATAAGACAGCTGTACAATTTACTATTCAATCTGTTCGATGGATAACATAACTGTATTTTTAAACAGTTTTACTTAATATCAATTAAATATATAAATCATTTTTGATTCATGAGTGACCATATGGAAAAAATGTGTTTTTCATAAATCTCTAATAATTCTAAGAGCAAGTGTGTGTGCTTTCGAACAATGTAAGAGACTTTTTGTACGATAAAGTGTTTAGACAAACGTTTCCGTAATATATTATTCTATAAAATACTTCCAATATCGATTGACTTCGTTCTTCCGTTTCTATTAACAGATAAAATTACTCTGGAAAAAATGTTTTTTATTTTTTCTAAGACAAATAAATTACATTATTTTATTTAGTGTGTATAATCTTCAATTAGTATTTTTGTTAAAAAAATGTCGAATATTTAACTATAATTATTCTCATCAATAATCATAGTGCAGGTGTAGGTAGATAGAGAGAAGAACAAAAAAAAATAGAGGGAGCGGAAATTGATTATAGAATTATTTCATATTTCCTCTTCTTTTCTCGTCTCGTATTTCTTGTATTATTTCTGATATATCCGGATAATAGTGATCCTAAATAGAGATATGTAATAACAAAAATAATTGAGCTTCTTAAGGTCACAAAATAGAAAAGATAGAGAAAAAATAAATGGACTGATGAGATAATAGTTAGGTTGTGTATGCATTTGTTTCTAGATATGTAGAAATCTCTTTAGAAATACGTAATTTATATGATTTTTCTCTTTGTTACTTTTTCCAATTCTATTTCATTATCAATGTGTATAAGTTTTTCTTATGTGATACTGGAAAGACTATGGCAAATCTATTAAATATGCTTTTATATACGTACTTTTTGACTAATAGTATATTATTTAATGTAAATGTTTCTATTACTTACTAGAAATAGGTATATATAATATTTAGAAACATTTATGTCACAGTTAGATACAATATAATCAATCATATCTCGTTGTACACTATTAATCAAATAATTTATTGTTTTTTTAGCCATTGTAATTATCGAATTCCAAATGTAGGGTATAAAATGACAATGACTACATTACATTGTAAAAGAATCATTCGTTTAAAGAACAATAGATTTGTTTTCCTCTAATAATAAACAATTTGGGAAAATATAATGCCCGGATATGTTTATTGTTATGAACAACATAAGCCATAAGAGTATTGATAAAATATGCATAAATAAACTTTATATTATCACACTATCACAGTACGTTTGATGTCTAACAAGATTTTCGAAATAATTACTTAACATCATTTCACATTACATACCACTATTATTGCGTGGTTCACTGTCTTTTCGTTCGTTTAACACTTACATTGAAAAATTTTTTTATTATATGTGTTTTTTTTCTTCAGAGAATTTATCAAAATGCATACGCATAACAAGACCATTACTTTTTTTCTGTAGAAATGTGTAATTGATGAGATTTTCTCGTTGTTTTTTATAGTTCTATTATCATCATTATCTACGTGGTTGAACAAGCACCAAAAAATTGTACATTTAATCCACTTTAGTGTTTTCTCTTCTTTTCTCTCTCTCTCTCTCTCTCTCTCTCTGTCTCTTAACCTAATGATCAACTGAGAAGAAGAAAAAACAGCTATTTTCATCATCTAATTGACGGAAATAATCATCATATTATATGTACTACTGCACCAAAAAAGAAGAAGAAGAACAGAAGATATCATTTCCCTTGTCTGAATAGATATACACACATAATAATTAAATGTAACTCCTTACTTCCATCGTTTCAACTCAATGAAGATATTTACATTCTGAAAGAGAAAACAACAACAATAACAGCAACAACAACAGCAACTCATCTTCGTCATCTTTACAATTAGATCTTTTAACGTTTGTCAGTGAAGAAGAAGAAAAAAAAGAAGATAAACAACAGTAATTGATCTTGAGACTTGTTTCGATGATAAGATCTATAATTGTTTTACCTAGTTAGTATAGGTCAAAAGACATTCGCTGTTTATTTTTTGGTAAGTGTATAACCTAAAATATTCATTTGATTATACGATACGCGGAAGCGAATATTTTGAGAAGAGGAGTTAATCACAAAAAAAGGCTGATATTAACATTTAAACAATTATAAATGAATGTTATAGTGTTTTAATATATTTATTGATTTATTTCTTCAAATATGCCACATCAGATGCAAGTAGGCGTTCAAAAGAAAAAAAACCTACTTATCTTTAACAAAAACTGTCAAAAGTCTAATACGGATGTACTATCGTTTTTAAACAGAATGGGGCCATTTATTACCTAGCATCACTTTTCAAATAATGAATTGCTAAACTAGCGGTAGTTTCCACTAGACGAATTTATTATTTTCAAATTTTATATAAAAAGTCTAACTATTTGATAAGAAAAAATATATCTAAAGAAAAATGAATAAATCAGTTGAATAAAGTGATTTATTGCTACTTATAGTGAATACATAATGAGAAAAAATAAAAATAAAAATAATTTTCAGACTATGTCGTCCAAAAGTAATTGAAAAGACAGATTGTTCATCTATTTTTCTTCGTATGCCCTTGTCATTGTTAATTATGTACAATGTAAGATTTGAAATATTGAGGCAATTAATAATCATCAACATCGTATACCTTATCTGATGAAAATAGAATAAAATATATAATATGATATAACACTTTTTGAACAAATCAAGAATGGTTTTTTAGTGTAAGTATAAATATTTCAAATATTGTTTTGTTATATTTACTAAAGAAATATTTATTTGATTAAAAGACGATAGTTTATATTTGTTTATATAACTAGACAAAATAAATTCTAGTTTGCAAATAGAGTGAGAATAGAATCTTAACGTATATGACAAATAGTAATAGAAGAAAAAATATTTGACCTTTCGTCATTGTATCAAAATTTTGCCAGAAAAAATTCACTCTTACAAAAAAAAAAAAAAAAAAAAGAAGAAAACAATCTCAAAATTATATTGGAAGAATGCCATACGTCTTAAAATCAAACACTTATATGTATACATGCGAGATCTGTTTATTTTCACTATATATATAAGAATGACGAGTTCAAACGATTGTTTATTGTCACAAAAAGGAAATAGATTAAATCGTCAAATAGTCATTAGTCAGATATATAGATATCTGTTTTATTTTACTTGTCACTGCTTTTCCTGTTGTCATTTATTTAAGAGTTTGTTCATATTTTAGTTATCGTTCGATTATCCGATCGAACGTATTGTAGCCCTCTATTGATTGTACGGACGAGAGATAAGAAGGACGAACAATGACAAAGAGAAATATAGTAATATCTTTTGTAAAACCAGTGACATTTATAATGATGATTAATTTTATTAATGTTCGAGTTCTTCTTCTTTTTTTCTCATCCTATTATTCTTCATATAATTCTCTCGTTCCCAAAACAATAGCTGTTTGATTTTTTTTTTTTTTGAAAACATGCAGACACTCAGAGGGTATTTGCATAACTAGTTTATGTGTGAAGAAATGGCATCCCATTGTCCTTCACTATTGTACAACAGCTGTTTTATGACGACAATAACAATAACAATAGTAACTATGATTATAATTTTTTAAGCAAGGAAATTTCTATAATCTGTAGGTTTAATTTCTTTAGTTTGATTTTTTTTTTTGAATATTTGAAGAGTTCAATGTGTTTTAGAAAATAACTTTGTTGTATAAATTTCATTAAATTAAGACTAATATTAATAAGTAAAAATATTCTAAACATACATCTCTATTAAGTTAGAAACGAGTGACTATTGATTTTGGTTGATACATTTTAAAATTAAAATCTATTTTATGAATTTATAGTAATCTGACGTTGATCATTGTATCATATATTATATAGTTCTATTTCTTCATTTCTAGATGAGTTATCATGTTATTTAAATGAGAAAATAATGAGCACTATTGAAGCGATTTCATCAGTATCATTTATTGATAATTCAAGTATACCATCAATAATACCATCAATATTTCGTAATAATGCTGCTACCACTACTGATAATAATTGTACTCTATCGTTACAATATAAACTTATTGAACATATCGTTTATTTGTATATTATGTCACCGTTATGTATAATTGGTTTACTATTAAATATTATTAATTTATGGATATTTAGTGATCGATCATTTAAAAATTTAACGTATAAATATTTGAGATTAGTAGCATTTGTTGATTGTATTACGTGTATTCTCGTTTTCATTTATTGTGTAACAAATTATACGAAACCATCATCATTAAAAGATAAATATTTTCGTACATGGTATCTTGTTCATGTCTATTTTCCTTTAGCTAATATTACAGCTGGATGTAATGTACTTTTAACAATAACGGTGACAATTGAACGTTTAGTAAGTGTTCGATGGCCAATGGAAAAACAACGATTATTTTCAGCCAATCGTGTATTTATTACACTTGTTATCGTCTTCCTATTTCCAATTGTTGCCAATTCAGTGAATTTTCTTGTCTATAGAGTATCAAAATGTAATAATGCCGAACCGACACAAATCGCTTCAACATTAGCCTACAAATATTTTGGAATATGTAAAGAAATTTTGCTACGTTTCATACCTATTTGTATTTTGATATGTGCTAATTGTTTACTATTAATGACAGTAAGAAAAGCGCGACAAAAATTTAAACAACCAACAAAAAAAATAAAAATCGTTTATGAACAACGACCATTAACAGCTATAACACCACTTTCCGCTTCTTATTCACAAATTGATACAGCTGTGGATGGAAATGGTAGTGGTTCATGTTATACAACACCGGTTAATAAATATTTATCAAATTCTCAATCACAAACTGATGCTCTTCTTGTTGATCATCAAGAACATTTTCACCCTCGTGAATCAACAATGTCAACAACATCATCGGTGGGTACTGGAGGCATTAATCGTGAATCTAAAATAATTTCAACACCGCATCATTCACGAAAACAACATCAAGAACGTCAATTAACAATTATGTTAATTTGGTTATCGACGTTATATCTATGCGGTCAAATTCCAATGTTATTTGCCTATCCAAATTTTGTCTTTCGAAATGTATCGGGATCAGCATATAAATATTATGCACTAGTTGTGAATCTAATGGAATTATCTACCTATTTGGCAAACTTTTTTATCTATATCACATTCACAACACAATTTCGATTAGTATTTTTGTCAAAAATAAAAAATAGATTTATGTGCTAGATAGATAGATGAATAGATAGCCTTATATATATTTTTGTTTTCTTTCTGCATTTTTATTTATTTATTTATTTATGTCCGATAATAATAACAACCCAGATATTGACTATATCCAGACTGTATAGTGCAATACAAATCGAATATAACTGAGATTTTTATCAAGAATTAAATAAAATAGGAGTAAATGTACTGTTTAGAATCTCCAAAAAAAAATCCTATAAAACAATAGTTCTTGTCTTAGAATGTCCTTTCTTTTCAGCATCATATTTCAGTTTGTTTTCAATTATTTCTCATTCTTTTGATTTACTCTACACTTTATGCTAGAACAAGGATTCAAAATGTTATTGATAAGAAAGTAAAAAAGTCATTACAATCTTATTGATTCCATACATGAAGAAGTAATTGATATCAGATAATTTTATTCTGTAATGATATAACTCTTGTTTGTCTTCGTGCTATGTTAGCCGAGAAACACTAAAAGTCCAATGAGTTCAGGAACAGTTGTGTAAAATGCACAACAATAAAATGTACAAACGATACAAACATGTATGACTACAAGATATAAAATTGATAACGGATCTACGTTCAAATGTGTATGTTCATCCTAAATTAGATGAAAATGATTCAAAAAAATTCAGCATCTGCAAACTATGGAAAGACAAATGAAAAGATTTTGTAGCTTTTATAATAGATTGATAAAAAACAAAACAAAGAGGAAAATAATTCTATAGCTGAAGGATGGAGTCAAATTTGGAAAAAAAGCAGGAAAAACTAGCCAATAGAATGCGAGCAAGTGTATGACATAGTGAATTTCGTAGAGTAGAAATGTCTAGTCAAGAAAGAAATATTGGATTCGTACAGCTATACTAGAAGAAAACACTATGGACAAAAATAACTCAACATTTTAGGATGATCCATTATCAGAGATAAAATGTTAAGAAAAAATTTTGTTTTTCTGTAAAGAATTAATTAAATGAGAGATTGATTTTTTTACACAAATTATCGGTGATCCGTAGATTATAATCAAAAAAATACTATCGGATCAGTTTAAAATTTTCGTTTTTAAAATTAAATGAGACTCTTTTCTGCATAACTTTTGGCAGAAAAGAGACAAAAGAGTGCGACTTCTACCAATCGATAGCTAAAATCTGTGGACATCTTTTTATAATAAAAAAGAATCGATTTATTGAAGAAGCATCATGATCGAGACATGGGATCGAATTTCCTACAAGGCATCGAACTAACTTGGAGTGAGATAAACTTATGAGAATCTCAAAATCAACTAAATCATATGTTATCGGCCATAAATACTGAGTCTCGGACGATGTTTCTTTCCATTAAAAATCTACCTAAGATGAACGCCTTATGAAAATTCGTCCATCGAAAAAGATTTGTAAATCTATTTTTATTATGAAAACTTCTTGGCTACACTGCAGAAAAATGAGTGCTTCGGGGCAATGTTTGGGGTGATAAATGGGACACTTTAAAAAGTATCTTACTATAAGGCACATTTTGGAGCCACTGTCAGCGCGAAAATTCAGAAACAGTGCTCTTCGGTACTGTTGGGCAGTACTCCCTCCTGTACTTTTTAAAGTGTTCCATTCCATCTTCCAAAAAATTACCCAGAGGCATTTGTTTTTCTGCAGTGTATCGACTGACAAAAATCGCACTGTTCTGTCTCTTTTCTATCAAAAGTTATCCAAAAAATGGCTGCTCATGTAGTCAAAAGCGTCAATAAATCGGGGATTTTTTAACAATTTTACTGATTAATAGCAATTAATCGGTGAGTTTTTAGTTCAACAGTCAACTGGGCTCCTCGGTTCATAGCTCACTCAGATTAAAACAATGAGGCAGCTCTGATGAAACTACAGAGAACACTCTTGCAATTTCGTTTTAAGCTAAACTAAAAATATAATCTGAAAAGAAGAACATTTCTTGTTGAAATCGTGTTTCTCATATACTTACTCCACTGCAGACTAAAACGGTGAATAACAAAAAACTATTTAATCGCTTAAAATCAACAATTAATCGCAATTAATTGACCATTATTTAAAAAAACAGAAAAATCACCATGATCGCTAATTAATCATACTCGATTTGCATTGTTTTTAAGAATGGCGATATATCGGTGATTTTAATAACTGGCGATTTTTCATGCAAGCTGATTAATCACCAGTTGTTAAAAAGTCATCGATATGTCGCAATTTATGGATAGTCAAGATTGCGATTTATTGGCGATTTTATTGCTAATCGCAAATAATCGTCCAGAATGGAACGATTTTAACGACATGGGTATTTAGTTCAGGTTGGTGACATATGATACCTAACAATTCTTTTAACACCAAGCGATACAAATTATTTTTCATCAGAATTTTAAAAATCCTAATCAGTAGTAAAAAATTGCCCGAAAAGAGCCGTGAGCACGTGCAAAGACACAGCAAAAAGTTAACAATTTTATTTTTGAGTTTTTGATTAAAAAAAAGTTAAACATAAAAACTAATCTTTATAATTAATTAAATAACAACTATATAATTAACTTAAACACTGTCAGAAAGATTGAATAATGAAAAAATTAACTAAAAAATCCACATATCTATATAAATGACACATTTTGATGCGTCGACACACTCTTTGATGGAAGAGTAAATCGTTGGTCAATCTACCTACACGTTAGGAGGAGAAATCGCGATGAATAAGTATACCTGACTGCAATGCAATATTTAGAAAAAAAGTATATTAACAAGAAAAACTAGTCTTTAGCCTTTATTTGAATCGAATGTTTTCATTCTAACATTTTCATATTCCCCTTAAAATTATTTCCACATTTCCACATTTTCATCATATAAAAGAATAAATTCTGTAGGTTCATTAAAGGCCCCCTCACGAAAAAAAACTTTTTTGTCTTACATCCGATTTTGATGGAACTTTCAGCAAATGTTCCACACTCACAGATGTGGTCACAATATTTTTTTTTACTCTCTATCTGTTACCGTTCCGGAGTATTCTAGAGTCCAAGGCCGAAAACCATCCTTCAGTGTAAATCCTTTTTCCTTAATACAGTTCACGATAGTACACCGCACCTGTAACTGACACCTTCTGTCTATTCTTTTTCTTTATTGTATAATGTCACCTCTTATCACATTGATTTCATTTAATCAGAAAAATATGTGAAAGACAACATTTGACAACTATGTTTGAACAGCATGTATCAGATAGGATACATTAAATGATGATAGATTCAAGCTATGAACGCAAAGCTTAAGAAACCTATACCAAGTTACAGCTATATAAGAGCGATGCGGTTTCTGATAAGTTAAGACGGCAGCATTACTTTGCCATCCAGCTAGATAAATTTTAATATCATCTCTTATACAAATTATAAAAAATAATGAGTAGCCCATAATAAACGGATCAAAATGCTTTCTTATTTTTGAGGTGTTTCTCTTTAGTAGACAGACACACTCGATTCTGGACTCATTTGAAGGAGAATTGAAAGTTCTACAAAACTTCACATTTCGCATCTCAAATATATTGTTTCAATCATTGCAAAATTCAAAAGATCAGCGTTAACCAAAGCTAATGTTCGAACTGCGATCTAGTGTTTCTTCCACATATCTGTCGATATCTACGCCTTTTTTATACATGAAATTTGGTAGTAAAAATAAAGTTTTTAACATAGATTGATAGAGAACTTTGTTCTCTATATTTCTACACTCTTCTCAAAATTGTTGCTCTTTTAGTTTCGGAGATATAGGCTTGGAAATGACAAGTGATAGTGTTTTCTTCACGGTCTGGGTAAAACTGAATTTTTCAAAATTATGTTAGTGTCTAAAAAGTTTATTTTCACATAGTTAAATGCAGAATTGAATGCTGAACAGACTACTGTGTCTGTTAATTTGAACAGTGAAAAATGTAAGTTATTGTAAGCGGAAAGATATAAGTCTAAAATAGTTGTTCGAAAAGCGATTTTTTTCTGTATTTTCACATTTTTTAATTTAGAGACTTTGGAGAATGTACCACATTTACGTCGACTTTCTGCCAATCGTATGGCACTTTCAGGACTAGTAGAACTCATCACGGTGATCCCAAAAATCATCTTAAAAATTTTTCAAAATGACCACATGTTTTTCCCGTTCAGATATATCTATGAAGACAAAATGAAAACTTAGATGGCACTTTTTTTAGAACTTTTCTATAAACCTTAATTTCTAAAAATTATTTTTCTTATATCAATAGTTGTAGAATTTTATAATTCTCCGAGATGTCATTCTACGCATCAGATGATTCGGTTTATTAACAGATGACACAGCTGAAGTTCTGGGGAGTAAAAGGCGCTCAAGGCCAGGGTTCCCAATTGATTTTAATCAGGATGGAGAAATTTTTATGGCAGATAGTCTTTTTAAAAAGCTGGTGGACAGGTTTTTCTAAAGTGAAACATTTGTAAATGAAAGGAAATTTTATTACTCCGCAACTAAATTAATTTTTCCAGCGAAAACAATATTTAATTTTCTTCCAAATCATTCTCAAATTTGGACAAATTTTAGGCGGAATAAAAATTTCAAAAATCTGGCGAACAGTGGTTAAATTTAGAGTGGAGATGTCCCTCACTTCCCCACTCTAATTAAAAATCCCGCTCAAGGCTGATAGAGAGACATATTTTGTAGACGCTTTTACTGACCGAAAATCATTGTCCCAATTCTTTATTTCTAGGCTAAAAAAATAAAAAATTTGCTCTAGTTTTTAGAAACTAGAGCATAAAATTCACATTTTATTCTATTGAAGTGCTGAGCAGTAGACATTTTTATGGCTTCTGGTACTTTTAAAGCTGCGAAAAAACGACAAATGTTTATTTTAAGAAAAACATAGGACTGAAAACTACGCAAAATCCTCGATCTTTTAGCACCAAAACGAAGTTTTCTGATCAAATTTAACTTGGAAAAAATCGTTGCAAAAGCCAGTAATTTAATTTTAACCACTCATTAGTTGCAGGTACGACTAATTTTTGTTGATTTCATGTCATTTATTAATATTAATAATTAATGTGTGCACTGTTTTTATGACTATCATCAGCATCAGAATAAAAATAGACTAATGATTTTTATGTAAAAATGACACTGAAAAAGATAACTAGAAACGCACATATAACGGTGCACATATACAAAGTAAGCATATGAAAAACAAAAAAAAAACAGGTTAAAAAATATTGCGGAGTTTTTGATTAACATTATTCTTAGTTGACTAGAAAACATTAGTTCATAACATAGAGACAGATAAAGGGAAAAGTAAAAACAAAAATAATTTATTGGAAGCTCATTCAATACATATACATGCTTCCTCTGACATAATATTCTGTTTTGTAATATTTAAAATAATAGATTTTGATATAAGAAAAAGAAATTATTGTACATGGAAAAAGAAAAGAAGTGTATTTTTAATGTATTTAAGTCATTGTCGTTGATAACATACCACGATTAGACAGACGAGATCTAGATGAACGGTAACAAAACCGTTATTTTTAGTATATGAAGAAAAGTAAGATAATATTCACCTGATTTGTCCCGCTAATAGTGGATTAAATGCGTACAACCAATCGTGTACATCTTTCTCTGACAATGGTTGCAATAAGAAACCACGATATTTTGACACAACCGAAAATGTATTGCGAGTATTCTAAAATAAATTATTAAAAAACTTTAGACTCTACGGTATAAAAGCAACACTTGACATGTCTTCATCGTAGATTATTAACGGGATAGTTTAAATGTTACCTATTTTAATTAGAGTCCTACAGGACAAACGTTTCTGTTGTCCCGAGCCCGAACATAAACATTTTTATCCCATCCCGTAAGCTCGTAGCCCGTGAGCAAATAATGTTGTCCCGAACCCGTCTGTCCCATGAAAAACGTTTACAGAGTTTTATGTTCCGTCCCGTTTGTTCTGTAATATTTGGAAAAAAATTTTCTCTTGAGTGATTTAAATAGTGATTAATATACTCTCAAACATGCTCTATTCCATGGGAAAATTTTTTTTGTTTGTCATAGGGCTTAATTTAGCTGTGAAAAACATATGGACGAAAATTACGCTTAAAACGATGAGGCCGTCGGAAAATTGAATTACATGCAAAAACAAGGTAAGCCCTCAGACAAACAAACACATATCTAAAATCTGCATGAAATAGGCGATCGAATGGTAAAAACATCTTTTGATTTTGGACTTGCCAACTTGGAGAAACAAACTAAAACATTTTCTTAGCGGGTTTTCTCAAAAGCTGTGTTCGGTAAAAGGAAGGCTTTCTCAAGCGCCCAACCCGAAACTCGTTCAAAATTTCACGGAATGTTCTTCTATATACTCGCTTTTAGCACAGTTATCATAAATTAGCATAAACACTCCTGGGCTTAGATATAGGTTTTTCAAGTATTTTTCACTTATCATCAGCTAAAATCGTTCTAAATTCAATAAAAATAACATTTTTGAATTCAGCGAGAAAAACTGCATCGAATGGTGTATAATAAACTTAGATTGGGTTTAATATATAATCTTATTAATATGCAATCTAAGTTGTGAGTAGTCCTTAGGAAGACTCCAAAAGAGAGATCAGCAGCAAATTCTTCAGTTATGAAAACCTATAAATAGCAGTTTTCGCAGTAAAGGGTTTTCTAAAGATCCTGCAGGTTTTTCAGAAACCTTGAAAAACTTTTTGACATCATCATAGGAAAGAGCATGTGGTGAAACCTATTTCCACAAGTTCTCAGCTCATTTGCGTGAATATTTCTCAAGTTATAGCTCATGCTCGTCTGCTATGCGAAAAATGCACACTGTGCCGCGTAAGCCTGAATTCGTGAAACTTTTTTTGCCGCGAGCGCGTAAAGTTATTTTTTTTCCCAAGCCCATCTGTCCCATTCCGTAAAATGGGACAGACGGGCTCGAGATTTGGAGCTATCCCGCAGGACTCTAATTTTAATACACGAAAACCTGTAGTTTAAATCTATCTGTCAATTCATGCACTTGAAGTTAAAAATGTTTTTATTTTTTCATTCTTACGCGCGTGCCACTGATCAGTTCTTCATCGTTATATTCAATTTTTGCTGTAGCTAAATTAATTAATGATCGTTCAACCGGATCTTTTTCGTGATTATAAATAAATGCAAATGGACGACGAACAGTCACAAATTTTTTCACCCATCCAGTTGCTTTTTCTTCTAGAAAATTTAAATATCCTCTTCTTGATACAACTGGACTTATTCGAACTTCTTCTAGAATTGGAACATATTTTCGTTGTAGACGAGATGTTCGCGAAAATTCACTACCACCACTTGTACTTAATAAACTTTCCATTGAACGAGATTTGATCATAAGAGGTGATGGAGATGAATTTAATGATGAAGATGTTGATGGATCGAGTAACGCAAATCTAAAATAAAAAAATGATATTTAAATAAAGAAAATTAGTGTTGAAAAGACAAAAACTAACCGAGATAAATCTGAGCTACTTGATGACGCTTTTAAAAATGTTGATAATGTAAATGGTTCATTTGTCGATTTAACAGTAGATAATACTAAATTAAATGCATGAATATCTTCAGATGATAACACATGTTCATCACCCATTGTTGATACCTAAAGAAGAAGAAAAATATATAGGACTAAAACGAGTGAATCTTAAAATTTTACCGCAATTTCTGGAACATTTCTTTTTAATTCTTCATTATTTTTATTTAATTTATAAGGTGTCATGAGTGATAAACAACGTTTTAATAAATCTTGTTGATGTTCATCGTATTTTGATGTATCATCAAATGGTGTAGTCTAAAATTCACAATTTTGAAATAAATTAAGAGAAAGATAAAATCGTTTATTTACTTTTCCAGATGATGGAGTTGATTTTGACGAAGATGGTGAAGGTGACATTGAATCGTAAGCTGTCGTTTTTGATGATGGATTATTTAAACGATTTTTCACTTGTAAAAAATGTTTTGTACGTTCAACCTGTAAAAAGTGAAGAAAAAAAAAACGATAAACAAAAAGTACATATGAAATTGGTAATACATACACTTTCTAATCGAAATAATTGTTCCAAATCTTGTTGATGTTCAATAATTAATGAATCACTTCTCGGTAACCAACCTTTCAACATTTCTTCACCACGAACATATATATGGCTTGTGTCAATTACTTTACGTTGACGACGTTGTAAGGCTAAAAAAAATAAAATAGTCTATTGTGCTATAAAAAGAACAAGTTCAACACTTATCAACGCCTTTTTTACCTGAACTAATTGAATCAACAGCTCTTTTTAATTTCAATTCGTAAACAGCAGTTACACGATTAGCGTCTGAATTTCTATATGCAACGGACGAAAATAAATTTCGTAATGATCTAAACATAACAATAATTAATCAGTCTATAATTCTCACTAAGTAAGATTGGTACAAATATTCGATTATAAGAGATTAATGATCAAAATCGTTACACACCTAACAGGTGATGTTATTCTCGAATCTCTTGGATAGAAAACAAGACATAAATCTTTGGTTATAACCGCTGGTTGTATACAATTTTCAAACTCTAAATAGGCTGATATTGTAATATATACAGAATCTCCCGATGATGTACAACGATTTAGAAGAAGAGAATTATGTAATGATGAATCCCATGCAACTTCAAAACGATAGAATGTCCTATAAATTAAGACAAAAAAATATGATATCGAATTTAACATGAAAAAATAACTCAATATACCTTTCATCATGTTGTTTTTGTAAATAATGAGCTGACATAACATTTAACGATAATACATGACCATCAGATTCATCAAATACCGAATCACGTTGACCACGAATACGGCCTAAAGAATGAAAAGTATAATCAGTAGTATCACTGTCTAAAATGAAATCTTTTATATTTATTCTTACCTACAACTACTTCTCGAACATCTTTCCATATCAATTCTGATACTGATTCATGACATAGAGTGATGCTGATTCTTCGTTGAATTCCCTGATGTAATAGAAAGCGACCAGAACAGGGAACATCATCTGAATGATCAACCGTAGCGGCTGCATATCTAGACAAAAAAAATGTATCAGTACAATTAGTACACACAACTTGTCGACGATCAGCTCGGTCTGAAAAGTTGAATTAGATATATAGTTTTTGCCAGGATTGAATCAGATCTTATTAAAATGTATCTTGTGGTTCAGAGAAAATTTTTTGAATAAGTTCATTCAACTCGGAATCTGATTGACAAAAGTCGGACCGAAGTTTCTGAAAAAGACAATTTTCGGCTGGACTTTCAGCTCTAAATCAGTTGTTAGAAGAAAAGGGTTTACGCAAATAAAACAAAGATTTATAACCATGAAAAAGTTTTTGAATAGTACAAAAATTCGATAAATTTGACTATTATAACTATTTACAAACAGTATCGGGTGGCCCAGAATAAATGGCCCCTCTCGTATTTTGCTTATAATTTTTTTTCAATCATTAGACCTGATTGTTTTTCCAGAAGATACGTCGTCAAATTCTCTACAAGACTTGATCAAACGTATTTCTATAGGAAGTTAAGGAGAAAAATTTAAACGAAGAATACACAACATAATGAAACGGACCAACTTTCTAAGTTATTTTATTTTACAAATTTTAGAATATTTTAAAAAATTCTAAAGACAATGAAACAAAAGCGAAGACATTTTTGAGTACTTTGGAATGCGCTGATCTTTCTCCTTATCCAGTTCACAGTTCGTTCAAATCTAACTGAGCACTGAAAAATCGAACATTCCGATATTCACCTGAAAGTGGCCAAAATCTGCTGTTGTTCGGCAGGTGAAATTATAAAGAAATTTTTAAAAGTAACTTTCGCTGCTGAATCTGGCGTGTCATTTCTCATCAAAATAAAAAAGATAGAGCTAAGCTTTTTAAGATATTTTGACTTCGTTATGCAACATTTTCCAGGAGCTCTGACTCTACACATTCAAATTGCTAGATTTTGCAAAGGAAAGGAAGGAGAAAAATTGATGTAAGTAATTTTGCACTTGTGTATCTAATACTGATTGAGAGAGCTTTTCAAGGACTATAAAACGCGTATATTATCTTCTTTTTATCATCCAGTTCAATGAAAGTGATTGAACAAAACGTTTTTTCGGCTGAAAAAGTTAGTTCGTCTCATTACGTTGCGTATTCTTCGTTTAATTTTTCTCCTTAACTTTCTATAAAATTAAGTTTGATCAAGTCTTGTAGAGCATTTTACGATGCATCTTTTGGAAAAACAATCAGGTCTAATGATTGAAAAGAAATTATAAGCCAAATACGAAGAGGGCCATTTATACTGGACTACCCGATATTATCTTGAGTAGAACGATATTACTATTACTATCAAACACACTCCCTAAGTCTTGAGCATCCTATTATGGTTCCTTGAGTTAAGTATTCTGTTCTGAATCACCAAGAAGCAAAAGAGAAGAAAAAACTTTTTATAGAAAATAGTTTTCAGTTTTTTCAAAGTTGATTTCGGCTCTGATTCAGCCCTGATAAAATTGTACAGCTGATTCAGTTTTTCACTCCGAGATAATCGTCGACTAGTGGCAACAATTTAACGTAAAAATACGTACTCTCCATTTGGTGCTAATTCACATATTTCATACCAAACTAATATGTCATAAGTGGCATGAACATGACTAGCACTAGAAAAAAGAGTAATTAAATCATTATCTCTCCCTGTGTCTATTTAGTATCTTTTGGTGGCAATTCTCTAATATAAGCAATAACGTTTTGCTTGTTCAATGTTATCCTGACTTATTCTAACTGCTTTGTCGAAATAAATAATATAATCTATTAAGAATATGCCATACAATTTTTGCCAAGAGATCAATATACCTGACAACCGATATTGGATTTAGTGTTTGAGCTGGGACAGGTTTTGAAAATAGATTCGACGACAGTACTAACGATCGATTTGTTTTATTATTGGCAGTAAATAAACTAAAAACAAATGTTTGATTCAATAAAACGATGTTATTTTCTATGAATATGAAAAAGACAAGAAATGAAACTTTTATTTTACTTTTCTTCTGGAACTGTAATAATTGTTTGTGATGGTAAGTGTTCTTGATAATGTCCCATTATTTCGAACGCCAGAGGTTGTGTCAGAATATAGTCAATAAATGAACGAGTAACAATAACGCTAAACTGAAATAAAAAATATGCAAATTTATAAAATATTTACATTTTCAATGCGAAAACATACATTTTGTACGTGAAAAAATCCTAATGGAGGGCCGGGTTGTCCCTGATTTTTCAAAGGTTCAGTTGAATAAATTTCAGAATCCTGATGTAAAAAGTTAAACTGGCAAAATATATCTGCATATTCTATTGGAATTTGTGAAGCTTCTAAAACTGTTATACGAAAATGATATTCTTTATTTAATTTTAACTCTGATGGTAAAGTATCATTATTAATATCTAATAAACGTTGTTGAACTTTATTTATTTGACGAGATATAGAAGATGGAGTTGATGATAATTTTGGCTTATTTGCTAAAAACAACAAAAGAAGGTGAAATAAATAGATAAACGATTTATAATAAACTTACATGAAATAAAAACAGGTACGTCAAACTCATTAGTTTCTGATGACAGATCTATCGGTGATGTTGTTTGACCTTCAACATAGCGAACATTATCAATTGAATCTGATAGAATATAGGATTCAGCTGTTGTCGGTGTCGATGGTCCTGTCATATGCTAAAAGAATGAGTATACATTAAATTAGAAAATAATCAGACTTTATCACGGAAGATGATGTAAGAGAGACTTATTACAGAGACTTAAACTCGTTCTTATTGATATATTTATTCTAAGCAATAAGTTAAGGCAAATATGACCAGCTATTCATGTGTTTGTTAATCTTTTTATTCATCTAACTTACTTGAAAATACGTATCATCATCGAAAACAAGTTTGGCCATTCCTGCATTTCTATAATTTTTCATTGTTTGACTTGATGTACAATCCGATGTTGTATCTTGTCCATCGATTTGTTGTAATTGCTGTACAGCCACTTTTAAGTAACCTTTAATTTCACCTTTTTCATTAACAATGGCCACTTTATGAACAAGAGGTATTGAATGAAATAAATTTGATAAATATATAAATGCTCTATAAGTAAAATAATATAGAATAGATGTACAGTTCATATACGTATATAAAATATCTACCTTCCAATTGTTCTAAACCACGGAAATCGATCATAAAATGGATCTTGTCCACCGTTCATACCAGCTAACACATGATCGATATTTGTATCTGAAGATGCTGGCGACATATCAGCAGAATTATAATACATTTCACGCATCAGTTCTAAACGTTGCCTAAAACAAAAGATAAACAATATTTTAATTTAATAATTTATTCCAATGATAATATATTTTCATCCCAACATATAAAAGAAATACCATATAAAACTAAACAGGAGAGTATTGCAAAGAAAAATTTTATAACATGTCAGTTAAACACACAATGAGAGGCAGATTCAACAAAATTGGAGGATTCAAAATCGATACCATGAGGAATTGTTACTTGTTCACAATTATAAATATAACGCATTATTTCAAGACGAGATCTCCAATAACAGGATAGGAAAATATACATTTCTCTGTTTACAAGTGTCTCTATTAATAACTGTTTAAAATATAGTAAATTCTTTCAAATACTGATACGTTATTCGTACTGAAAAGTGATTTGATTCTGGTAACATACATAAAAAAAAGAGCTTCATAGTGATTAAAATGGATTCTTCGACTCCAGTTTTTCAGATTTAAAAAAGTATTTCGAGATAAAGAACCCTGATATAAGATTAGAAAGTTTGAGACAAGTTTACATATTGAACTTGTCTCCGTCTAACATTTTTTCGCAATGCCAATTTGCATAATTGCAGTTTTTCTTACCTGAATTTTTCTAACGACCAATAATGTTGGGCACCATTTTTTAAATCTTGCACTTCTACAGCTACAATTGTTCGTTGTGGTTTTTCATGGAGTTGGGAGGTTAATTCTGGCGGTAATGGTGAATAAACTGTATCAGTTAATAAGATAAACTGAAACTGTACATGTTTACGTAATTCAACACTAATTGCATTTGCTTCTTTCAAATAAACACCATTACCCCACAAGACATCCTAGAAATCAAACAATAACTAAAGATCTCATGAAGTGAACGTTCTCAAACTAGCGATACATAACAGTGAAACATAACAAAGCATAACTGTGACAAAATGCTAATAGAAGTAGTTTGATCTAACTTGGCAAATTTTTCTTTCGTTTTTGGGGAAAATTTGTAATTATTCTACTGCAAAGAGTCAGGAATTTTACGAAGAAAAAAGAGTGTATTAAAGCGTTTGCATCTATATGTTCTTAGTTGGAGGATGTAGTGTGAAATTTTAAAAAAAAATTTCTTTAGAAGTAGTATGCATAATAAACAAATTTACGAAGAACAATAACCTTTTAGAAAGAGGACGTCTGGAGGGTGTCGCGTGTTTGAAGCTTTCATCGACACATGCTTGAACGTACCACTTCACATGAACAAATATTTCACTACATCTCTAATTGATAATAATTTTACTAGCAACGACGTGAACATGTGTGTGTGTGTGTGTGCGGATAATAATTACAACATTAACAAATATATTTGCTTTCTTTTACATGAAGCAACGACAACACCATACTACCTTGATAAGCCATATAGGCTGAATTCTGTTGGAATAATCCTAGAGTGAAACATTGTCTCCCATTGTATACATAATTAGTCTACGTTAAAATACACTTTCATACTCACTCTCAATGATGTCGTTTGATGATAATGCCATTTCCGCCATGCCCACCAAGCTAATTGATATTCGGATTCAGACCATGAGCAAACTAAAAAATCCATCTTATGTTTAATCTTCGAAATATATATTTGAGTTTAGAGGATTCAATTTTCAAGTGAGAAATTACTGTACACATACAACTAAGCGTGCCATTATCAGCATCCAAACTAGACTCTTGTTGTTGAATCTCTTTTCCGTCATTAAACTGACTTCCTCCAATTCCACTGGAGAGTATTGACGATAACATTGAGTGTGACATCGATGTTTCCATTTGTTTTTGTAATTCAGTTATTTTCGATTCATATTCCAACTTTTGTTGCGCTAATAAACGATCGGATTCTTCTTTTTCACGTTTATACAATTCTTCCATTGTCATTAGTCTAAAGATAGACAAATTTATTTCATATAAGGACCATATTCAACTTTGTATGCTTTTCTGCAATATTATTAGACTTACTTCTTTTCCATTTCATGTTTGATATCGACACCTTGTTTTTCTAATAGTTCTTGTATTGCACTATTCCAATCAGTAGGTTCTAAAGAAGAATCATGAGATCTTTATATATCTGTTGAAGTTTCTCTGCTTAGCATACCTGTTGTTGATGGTGTATCTAGTTTTTTCACTTCTTTTCGTGCCTGTTCTGGATTCAGAAATCGGAATACATGTGATTTACCAAATATTACACGAGAACCACTTTTCAATTCAATTGTCGAATTTACTTGTGTTCCATTCACATAACACATGGCATTTCTACACGGTGATAATGTAACAATATTTTGATTATTTTCCAACGTACAATGTTCCGATTGTATGTGCGAACCACTTAACATTATATCTTGATGATGAGTAGCATCAGGACGACCAATACTATGAAAAAAAATGCATGTATTTTAGATCTATACTATGGACAAATATCCCGAAATAGAGGTTAACAAGTTTTCTTACCGAGTAATACCATCTTTAATAAAATACATTAAACACTCTGACATAAGTGGATCTTCATTTAAATTAACAAGATGAGGTGTCTAGAATTATAGAAGAGTAACGTAGCAAGAATTACTGGAAACAGTTTATGATATGAAAACGCACATTTTTTGGTGAAAATATACCAACAGCATAACCATCGGTTTTAGCATATAAACCTAATTCGTGAAATGCAGCTTCTCTAAGAAGAAAATAGACAACAACAATCAGAGATTATAACGATATATGCCATCTATTATCTACGTTTATAACTTTAATTAGTTTGTAAATTTAGTTTTTTTAACTTTTTATACCTCTCCTGCATAATTGTTTCTGTTTTCTTCAATTTTTCTTCATATGACATGCATAATGAATCCATTAATTTTTGATTCTCTTTCAGTCTTTCCAAAGCATCTTCTCCCGATCCAGTGACAGATTTTAATCTTGAACTTCTTACTTTTTGTTGTGGTTGTTGTTGTTGTTGTTGTTGTGATTGTACTTGTACTTGTGGCAAATCTACACCACCACAATCTGACAGATCAATACCTGCTTCACAACGCAATAGTTCTCGTAACTTATAAATTTCTTCTTTCAGATCGCGAATAAGTTTAGCATTAGCATCTTCATTAATAATAGCTTTACACAGAATTTGTTTCGCTCGATCGGCATAACGTAAAGTTGATAAAGTTTCCTCGAAATTGATATCGGCTGGAGAGATAGCAGCTATCATAGCTGTTTTACTATTACCACCTAAAACAGCACAAAAGTCATTAATTACTTATACTGATGAAAATGTAAATCCAAATATTTCTGCGTGTTATTAATGTATCAAAGGAAGTAAAAAATGAACTTAAGTATTCCGTTGTATAAAATTTACTTACCAAGGTTTTCCTTCAATAGCCATGTCAAGACTGAATCTCTGTACGGTATAAAATCACCTTTTTTATCAAATTTACTTTTTCGTTTCGAACTCTGGAATTAAATATTAGATTAAAATGAACAAGAAGAAATTAGCTCACTTGTATATTTCTTACCATTTCAGCGAGTGCTGCAATTACTTTTCCGAGTGTTGTTAATGATTTATTTATATTCGCTCCTTCTTTCAATCTATCACCTGTTGCCCCCGTCGAATCGGCTCGTTCGCTACCAGCCAAATCTACTAAAGAGATCTTAGACTGTTTTTCACTCGTCAAACCCGTCAAATCATCTACACATCGTTGAGAAAATACAATTGTAAATACAGCATGTGATCTTGATGATGTTTCATTCATATTTGTAGCTGCTACTGTTCTTGCTTTATTACCCTCGTCAATTAGTCTCGAAATATCATCATAAGAAGTTACAAGTAATTTTGATAAATCTTCGACATACGGTCCCATTATTGGATGTTCTCTTACACGTAAATTTTGTTTGGTTTTTGGATTGAGTAAATCTCGAACACGTTCACAATAAATTTCCATATACGATACTTCGACAGAAAATCGACGATTTTGTGGTTCAGATGATGCTGATGGTGATGATATTGGCGTTGATAAACGTGTGATACGATCGAATAATTCTTCACATAGTTGAGGAATGATACCTTTTTGACCATCTTCCATTTTACCCATCATTGTGTAAGATTTACCAGCGCCTCGAAATGATAATTATACAACTGAAGAATTTCTAAATAATAGTTCATCTTTGAATAGCCTACCTGTTTGTCCGTAAGCAAATATACACACATTGTAACCTTCAAATGCATGTTCTAACATTTCAATTCCTAAATCTTTATAAACTTGTAACTGTGACGCAAATTCACTATCAGTTTCGTTCGTTGACCAATATGAATAATCATATTTGAAACTTTTTACATCATTAACATCACGAGGATTCCGAATATCTTCAATTAGAAATATGTACATTATTTAACAACAAATTAATTAAAATTTTATATTTCATATTAATAAGTACATACGCGTTGTTTGTTGTTCCATTTTAATAATTTGTTGTGCTGCTTTTTGTATCTCACGCCCATTAAATGGTCGTACACGAACAGCCACCTTTACAGATGTCATTATTATCTTGTTTTTTCAAGTACTATTCTCAATTCATTTATTATACAATTCTATGAAGAGACTAATTAGTATTATCTAAAAATAGAATACATAAGAAATTTGTATATACTTCCAACTTCTGTTGAACGTTTTATATTTTATTCTATCACGGGTATACGTCATTTTGTTTACTTATAATAGAAGATAGATACGTCACTCTCGTTTTTTTTTTGCTTCCAGTAATACTACCAGAAAAACCAAAGAAAAGAGAGAAGGAGAATGATATGCATTTAAAATATTGATTTCTTTTTTATCCTCAGTAGTAAGTGAAATGCAAACATGATCATAAAAAATGTTCATGTTCTGTCGTTTTCTTTTATAGAAATGTGTAGATATATAGAATAGAATATTTGACTACATATTACAGAGATACGCTCGGAAAAAAAAAAAAACATTTTTTTTTCTTTCATTTTCTTAATCATTTGTATATAACTAAAAAAAAGAAAGAAGAAAGAAACAAATGAAGAGAAAAACTAAACTCAAATCTAGTTTATTATTTGAGTAAGAATAAAGGGAATCTGTTTTAATAAATAATGAATAAAATCAACTTGTGAAAATGCAAATAAATGGTTATCATCAGGAAATCTATGTATAGATAGAGAATCTCTATAATTAACAATAATAAGATGTAAAGTAATAGAAGATAAATTAGACATGATATTTTCCTAACAGTAAACTGACTATGTTTTAGATAAACGCTCATCCCATTGGAAATCAAACATTGTCTATGAAATGATTGTTTAACATTTGACATAATGGTAATATTATTTTTTTGTCTGACATTCAAAAACGACGTTGTTTAATATTTTCATTTTAGTAAATAAACTGTTCTTATTAGCAAATACATTAATGATATTTTCAAATTTAAGTCCAGTGTCCATTGTACTTTATAAATCTATTAAAGTGTTTAAAGGTCACAAAAGTCCATTTGAATCCATGTAAGTCTTTAAAGGTTTGCGTTCTACGTAGATTCGTAAAAGTCTTTGTAAATCTCTGAAGTTTTAGGGACTAATGTAAACTTAGTTGGACTTTGAAAACCCATAATTGAGACTTAAGTCTGCTTTTTATCCTTTGGATCTCGATTAGTGAGAATAGTTCCCTCTATTTTTTCTTATTTTCTGTCAAAATGTTTTCATATAACTTTTCGCTCCAGAAAATGTAGTAGTGAAAATATAATTAATTCCTTTTAGCAGGTTAAAAGTTTAGATGAAAATAAGATATTTTAATCTGGTCTATATTGTACGTTCTTTATCAAGTAAAAATATCAGATACATATTACATTAAATGGAAACAGACAGATATAGTTTTACATAAATGTCTAGAGCTTTTTTTATGTCTTTCATACGTTCAGTAAAATGAGAAATAAAAACTTTTGATATTTTTTCCCTTAAAAAAAGGTATTCATCACTTTCTGCAGGATTTTCTCTACACGCTTCTATCACCATTTTAGCTGTCCTCTCCTGAACGAAAAACAATCGAATCATTGACCTTTTTATCCGATCTTGGGATGTGACTACTCACTTTGTTCTTAATCATCATTTCTTGAGAAACTTGTGTGATTCAAGGAACGAGTTTCTCTAACATGTGGTGGTATTTGAAAAGTCATTAATGCGAGCAACTGTTTATAATCGATCACACTGTTTCAACGAAAACTAAATAATTATGCTTTTTATCGATATGAGAACAGTTAAAAGTACATAAAATAAAGAGAAAAACTTGCGTAATAAAGTAGCTTAAGATGAAATGCGAATGTAACTTAATGTGGGTTTAGATTAAACTTTACAATTCGTCAAGTTTGCCCTCAACGAGAAAATTATGAAATTTATCGATGACAAACGTTTTTAATCATGCATGATGAGGATAATTTAAAAAAAGAGAGCTATAAAGGACATAGAATGGAAAGTTTTGCACTTTAACTCAAAAGTGACTATCACCCGTTTCGATAGATCTATACAGGATGTTTCATAATTATAGGATCCCCTTTGGTTTTGAATTTTCTTCTTCCAACTAATAGTTGAATACTCATTTGAATAGCCTAAAGATTTTTCTGTCAGATGAGGAGCATATCGAAATTTTATAAAAAAGTTTGATAATAAGGTTTCTGGAAAACCTAAAGCCTTAAAAAAACACATCTTTGATTTTTGATAAAAATATTTTGCAAACCATACAACCTTACAGAGAAAAGAATTCTGAGAGAACCGGCGGCTTCCAGCTATCGATGACGTTTTTTTATCGGACTGCGGTCGGTTTATGAAAGGCCACAAGGGGATATTTTCGCTGTGTTTCCGTAGAATTTGATGATTTGACCCTTTGTGGCCTTTCTTTATATCAAGGATTGGCAATATCGAACAATATTAAAAAAACAAAGATAATTACTTAGGGCTGACCAAAAGTTCGTAGAACAATAAATAAAGAGCCCTGTCGAATAAGATGACTGTCTCAATTGCAAAACCAAATGCATCATCGTGTAGAGCTTTTCAAGGCACATAGAATGGTATATAAGAAATCTATTTTCGAAGTTCATAGGGAGCTAGATCGAGTTTACTGATGGCAGGACAGGATCCACAATTGTGGTAAAAGTGCTATCAATCCAGATAGGTAATCATCTTTTTTTCTCAAACATTAGATAACTGAAGATGTGAAATATATCAAATTG